GAGTGCTGTGGCATCATAGCTCACAGCAACCTCCGACTCTTGGGCTCAAGCAATTCTCTTGCCTCAGCCTCCTGAGTAGCTGGGACTACAGGCACTCGCCTCAACGCTGGGCTATTTTTAGAGATGGGGCCTTGCTCTAGCTCAGGCTGGTCTCGAACTCGTAAGCTCAGGCAATCCACCTGCCTCTGCCTCCCAGAGTACTGGAATTATAGGCATGAGCCACTGTGCCTGGCCTGACTAATTGTTTCTTGAAGTTTGTTGAAGTTTACCTATAAAATAGTCTAGACCTGGGGCTTTGGAAAGAGGATATGAGTGAATTCCAATTTTTTTTAATGGTTATTGCTTTTTCCTAAGTACTTACTTTTTGAAATTAGTCCTTTTTATCTATAAAGATTTTCATCTCATCTGAGCTTTCAGATTACTTGGCTTAGAGTTGTTCTTAAATATCTTCTTATTTTCATAATCCCTACCGTATCTGAGATTATGTTTCTTTTTTTATTCCTAATATTACTTATATAGGGCTTCTGGATCAGTCCTGCTACCTTTTCTATTTTATTAGTGATTTTTCAAAGAACTCGTTGGCTTGGCCGATACTTGCTGTTGTTTTTAAGTTTTCTTCTCCCTGGCATTTCTGTCTTTATTGCTAAAAGTATCTTTCTCCTCCTTTCTTTGGATTTGTTCCATGATAGTATCCAAACCACCCAAGTCCTTATGTATTTTTAACCCAGGTGATGCGTCAGAAACCAGCAGAGGTATATTAAAATCTCCCGTGATGACTGTAACTTTATTAAATTGTTTTACATTTCCAGAACTTTTTATTTAATTTATTCATGCTATGTTATTTGGCACATAAAGTTTTACCGTGGGTTGATTATACATTTTATTAATATAAAAGAATCCTTTTTCATTTCCTTACGAGGTGTGGGAGAAGTTCTCAAATTTATCTTATAATAAGCTGATTTCATTTCTCTGTGGTTTACCATCTTCCATTCATTGCCTCCATTCCGTTTTTTAATTGGGTGATCATGTTTTTCATCTCTATTCAATCTTTCCTCATCTCAGATTGCTCTGTTTTCATTATGGCCTATTTTTGTGTCATAAATATAATATTCTCTCCAATCCTGTTAAGAATACAAATTAGGAGCTTTTAAAGTATTTTTCTTCTCTTTGTTGCTTCCAGAGGGGCAATTAGCTCTGATTCCTTAGACAGGTCTCTTATATCTGATCTACCGAATATTTACACATATTCGGTTAATTTTCTGGGGGATGCCATTACAAAGCAAGAATGGAAATGGAGAATGGAAACACCTAGTAGTCTCTGAGGGGAAGCAAAAGAGCTAAACTCAAAGAGGCCATTAGCAGGAGCCTTTGCTCTGCCTGGTGCTAAAGAGAGTACACGTGTGTGCACGCATGTGTGTGTGCGCAAGTGGAATCACCCGTGCATCACCCTGCTTTGCCTGGCCTGCTAACAAAAGCTGAATAAAGGCCAAGGTCATGTCAAGAGGGAATGAGTTCTGTGTGGTCTCTCAGACCTAATGCTTATCTCCAGAGGAGCTAGTAGGATTGAGATTTGGCCCTGCCCAGAGGGCGTGTCCTCGGCCCTAGGTTCTGCTGCTCTGAGCTAGGTGGTCTTAGGCTTCTCCTTAAACTTTCTGGCACTCAGTCTGCTGGCAGGATTTCCTCTCATTTGTGTGAATTATAGTTGGATGAGACATTTCTCAATCTGGATTCGTTTTGGGGGCATTTCATTTGGCAAAAATTTCTTTAAGTTGCATGTGAAAGGCACCCTTGTTTAATTTACAGGGCTGAGGCCACACCCCTATTTTTAATGTCCCTTTGGTCCTTCTGATGGGGACCTGCAGAGGGCGTAGTCACATGCATGTGCTTCACCGGCTATCCTGAGCTGGAAGCGGTCTTTCTGTACAATTGCATTAAAAGGCCCTTCCTGTCTTGCTCATGCCAGAGTCCCAGCAAGGATCACCCGGAAGGGACCAAAATAGTAGGAGTCAGGTGGTTCTGGAGTGGGAATGGGTGATGTTTAAGAAATCTGCCGTTATGGCGGGTAAGGAACAGATCAGGGGGTCACACATGCAAGGAAGCCGGCATCTCATGGGTCAGAAATGCAAGACCACAGGAGGCTTGGAGGGTTGGTCAGATACAGGAAATATTGCATCTTGGGAGTTAAGTGTGAAGCTGGTGACAGGTTTCCCTGGTCAGGAGTTCAGGTGGGCATCAGAGCTTCTTGGAAGGGACAGGCAAGTCCTTGAGATTAAGGAGGTGCCGATGTTCTAGCAGATGGAGTCAATTATACCAGGGAAAGAGTGAGATGTTCTTGGAATGGACTCTTCTGCCCTCCTTCCGCAAATAGTGGTGTTGAGATAGACTGGAATGACAGGTGTAAACCGCAGGGACACTGCACTGCAGCTGATTGTGGCTGCAGGGCAGCTGTGAGTCCTGTTCACGTCCTAGGCTCCCTCCTTCAGGTGGGCAGCTCCAAGGAAGGGCGTGAGAACAGGGAGGTGATACACATGAGTATTCCAACATCCCTGCACACCTTGCCCTTCCTCCCCGGGGCATTGTTCTAGAGGATCTGCATACACGGGGTTCCTTGCATGATCTTTCAGCCAGGTCAGAAGCCACAGGCTGACCTTCTGAGGGCAACGCTAAAGAGGCCTAGACCCAGGAGGAAGATGTTCTCTGCCTAGAACAGCAGGCCGGATATTAGAAGGCTGAGTGGCAGGGCACATTCAGCAGGTGGCTGCAGAGACAAAGTCTGAAGTCTGGGGAAGGTCCTCCCTGCGAGACGCAGGAATTCAGGTCCCTCTCCCTGTAACCCTCCAGGACTTCCTGGGGTCCTGCCTCCTGCATGGCCCCCCTGAACTCTGTCGTAGGTGTCTCTCCTTCCTGACCTTGACCACCTCAGGAAGTCTGTCTCTGCCTGTCTACTAAGCTGCTCACCTGACCCCGAGGCCAAACTTTGACAGTGCAGTTGGGTGTACACACCTGTTGACTGCTCTGAATCTAGACCTCTCGGAGTGAGGAAACTCAGGCACTAGCCATGGGCCATGAGACTGCCAACAACCTAGAGCCATTTCTGCTGAGTCTATCCGGCCACATGCACAGAACCATTGCTCATAATTCCTTCAAAACCTGAACATTGTAACCTGTGCCTCCAAGCCACCTTTCTCTGCTGGCCACCTTCTTCCAAGAAGAACTCTGCATTGCCTAGTCACATGACTTCCACGTGTACCACTGCAGAGAGCAGTCCCTCTGCCTCACTGTCCCACTGCTGCTGATTAACAGATGAATGGAGGGGCCTGTGCGGAGGCTCAAGCCTGTAATCCTAACACTCTGGGAGGCTGTGGCGGGTGGATTGCCTGAGCTCACGCGTTCCAGACCTGCCTGAGCAAGAGTGAGACCCTGTCTCTACTAAAAATAGAAAAATAGCCAGGTATTGTGCATGTACAGAAGTCCCAGCTACTGGGGAGGATGAGGCAAGAGGATTGCTCAAGCCCAAGAATTCGAGGTTGCTGTGAGCTGTGATGATGCCATAGCACTCTACTCAGGGAAACTGAGTGAGACTCTGCCTCAAAAAAGAAAAAAAAAAATGAATGGAGAGAAGGGGGGGTTGAGGGAGATGCTTCAAGACACGGTCCTGGGAAGGGTGTGAAGCTTGCTTGTGCTCCTGTGTTTGGAGACACACACAGTTTGTTGTGTAGAGCTGAAAAGTGGAGCTTCAGAAGCCAGTGGAATTGTTCTATCTCAGTTCCACCCAGTCATCTCAGGAGCACACCTACTTGGGTTCAAAAAGCACCAGGTAAGAGTGAGAAACACCTTTCACATGCACACACACAAACAAGACAATGTGGGCAAGTGGGCCAAGATATCATCTGTGCATAAAAAAGGACAGCACATGAGCCACATCGAAACGGAATCCAAAAGGAAGTGGATCTAACGGTTTCTCTTTGGAGTTTTCAGGGTAGTGGCTTCTGGTTTTTCTAGGGTCAGACTTCTATGGCTATGGAGAATAAAAGTGTATCAGTATAAGCAAAGAAAGTTCTTAGGCCTAGAATGAAAATGGACATACTCTAGGTGAGATTTTTCCTTATAATCTACTTTATGAAGACAGCTCTTTAATCAATTCTCTAAAGTCAACTCTAATTCCACCCCCCACATTATTGGAGATGCCCACTTCATCACACACACACAAAGAGATACAGGATGCATGTGGGCTCAGAGTCTTACCACCACCACCCCCTTTATCACCTTCTCTGCAATCCGAATCCTTTCATTTCTTTCTCTTACATGTCTGGAGTTCACTTTCTTTACCCCCACAGCCACACATAGGTCATCATCAAGGCACAATGAAGCTACTGCAATAGCCCAGAACTCCACCAAAATACACACTCAAAACATGCACAGGGGCACACACACAAATACACAAAGTGTGCACAGGCACAGATGCCCCCAAACCAAATGAATACGTAGACAGCAATTCGCACACATGGGGAAATGAACATATAAAAGAATCCATCTCCACAAACACAGAGCTGTGCACACACACACACACAAATACACACATACACAGATATACACACACACACAGAGCACTTCATTATCCATGTTGATAGTCAGGGTTCACAATGAAAAACTGAATCCGTGGCTGCTCCAACTGAATTTATTATTTTTTATTATGCAGTCAACACACACTCAGGCACACACGTATATTATAGCAGGCAGCTTCCAAGCAAACTCTTCTAAAGCCGTATTCTCAGACACTCACATACCTCTCTCATTTTGGTCCTCACTTTCTCCCAGATGAGTGAGGACCCTATGTTGGGTCTCAGGAGGAAAGCAGAGTGTTCAGGTTATTCACAGGGAAATAAATAAGTGTTGACCATACTTTTGTATATGACAGCAAACATACTCTGTGAAATCTTATCAGTTTTACCTTGAGGACATCTCCTTCGGAGAGTTCGAACGCCCTGGCTTTCAGCTGAATCCCCTTCCCTGGCTGGGTCTGGATGGAGTAGATGCATTCATGATTGTTATTGTAGTTCACAGGAAAGTTGGGGGACAGCAAAGTACCCTGAGTGCCCGTGACTGAATTGCCACACTCAGCTGGAAAGAGAATCACAATAATTGCGGATTAACCCCCAGCAGCTGCATCCAGAGTACAACTCACAGTTCTGGAAAACCTTACAAAGATGCCAAGTTGTCTTTCTGTCTCCCTGCCAGGATGCCTGCCTATCTGCCCATCTGTCTGCCTGTCTACAGGAATGCCTATCAAACTCTTCCTAACACCTGCCTACCTAGAGCTCTGCCTGGTCTGTTTCTCTCTTTCATTCTGCTTGTCGGTCTCTCGTCTGTAGAAATAGAAGCCAACCCGCCAGGCACCCTTTACATTCACAGCGCTCTAACACAGCCATTCCCCACACCTGCTCCCACGGTGTCATAGCAACAGCAACGACAGAGGAGGAGGCCGGGGGAGGAGAGGACAGGTAAGTGAAGAGAGACAAAGACTTTCAGTATCAGAGGATAGAAACTAAGTGAGGACAAGATCAAATAATAATTGATCACCCTTTTGTGCAAGATGCCACACCAGACCCTTTATAAGGATCGTTTCAGTTACAAGTCATAGCAACCAACCCCCCAAGGTAGGGGTAACCATCCCTGATTTAACGACAAGGAACTGCGTACTTAGCAATTTACACCAAGTCTCTCAATTCATGAGAAGGAGGGGACTGCAAACTCAATATCTTTGGTCCCAGAGTTTAGGGCCAAGAAAGTTGGAGAAAATTTTAGCATAGTTTCATTGAACCCCTGTTTCATTCAACAGCTAATAAAATCACACTCCTTTGGAAATCTGTTTCCCTTTTTCCAGAATTAGCCATTCTTCCCCCCATTGTTCCCATCCTTTTATTTACAGCAGTCATCACATTTTCCTTGACTTATTTGTTAACATTTCTATCTCCTCCGCTGCACTGTGGATCCTTCCGGGACTTGGTCATATCACTGTCTCCCTGACACCCACTCAGTGCGTGGGCAGGACGTGCGCTGAGGAGCCCTGAGGTTGGCTCTCCAGGATCCTTAATAATTGGGAAGCTCTCCTCTGTGCTTCTATGTTTCAGAGCACCTGCCAGATTGCACCCTGATTGCTTTGCCACTGCCTGTATCCCCCACCCAAACTGTGAGTTACTGGAGGGCTAGGGTCATGCTTGATGAATCTATGAATTTCTGAGGCCTAGCCCAGAGCGTCTGTAAGATAAATATTTACCAAATGAATGAAGGAATGAATATGGAGTACACTGACCTCAGAAGATGTACAGTCCTAAAAATAATTAGGTTCCGGAAGGATGTAAATACAAGTCCAGATGGCAGGCCCATCATTTGTCTGGACATATGGGGAATTTGGAACATGTCTGGAATCTTTGAGGTTGCCGGTAGCAAGTCTGCTTTCTCTAAATCACCCCTCAGTGTCCTTATTCTAGGTACAGTCCTTGGCTGCAAGGACCCTGACGTTGACCAAGGGGCCACTACTCTGACCATACAGTCAACCCTAATTACTCTAAACCAGGAGCATCCCGGCTGAGGCAGCACAAATGGAGCACACAGAAAACATTCAGGGCTGAGCCTCTTGTGGGCTCATTTATAGGCTTGTGTGCTCTCCTGTCCACAGGCTGTTCCCTAGTCTTTGAAGGTGGGGATCCCCTGTGTCTCTCCACCAAGTCCCTACCTTTCCATGGATCTTGCTGCCTGGGTCCTTCCCAGTTCAGTTTCCTGAGACTAGCTTTAGTTTCTAAAGACTTTACATAGCCCTTTATCTAAGTTAGAGGAGAAATCTAACTTTGCTGTGCTTTAAACTTAGGCTGTTTGCAAACCCACCAGATATGATGCATGTGCTCAGCTGAGGCAGAAAACTAAAGGGACAGTGGCAGACAGGCACCATGGGGGGCAGTGGCTGTGGATAATTCAGATAGATGTGCTTTCAGAGGGTTTATATATCCTGGACACCCTCGGATGGGGCGGGGGCCTGCTGAGGACCACGAGCATTTGGACATTGGTTAGTTACAGTGTGTGGACAACCCTCTGAAGCATCTCACACCCTCCCCTCTGTCCAGGCAGAGGCCTGTGGTGCAGTGGGATGATCAGAGCCTTAGAGTCAGACATACAAATTCATCCACTCTCTGTCTTTTCATCTGCTATCATCTGGACAGGAACAGCATTTTCATAAGACTGGGGGATGAATGCATGAGATTTTATGTGTAAGACAGGGAGGTAAACATATGGGGAGTGACGGCACACAGTAGGCCTGCAACCAGGCTATTCCTCGCTCTTTCTTCATCTGTCCCAGGTGCACCTATGTGGCTCCTCTGCTTCCCTCTGGAGCCCTGACTGCCCAGCTCTAGGACTGGCAGAGAGCTAAGAAGCTAGCTGTGCAGCCCAACTCTGGCCCCGCATGACCCTCTCCTTTCTCCTGCACGCCCAGCACCTTCATGGGGAGGGGCAGAGAGCTTCGGATGTGGCCAGTCCTCGGCAGATCCCAAGTCTTGGCTCCCTGCCAGGCCTTTGTCCTGGGCACCGGGTAGAGGGACATGGCGCTTGCTTCTGGGAGAGTTTCCAAAGTAATAGGGGAGGTGAGCAGATGCACCGAGAAACCAAACCCAGGCCTAAGTGGAAACAAATAAATGTTCCAGAGAAACAAACAGTCACAAGCACAGGAGAGTGCCACTGCTGATCCCAGCATCTGTGACTTCTGTCACCCCCATCAGGAGAGGTCTCGTTAAGGGCAGGGGCTGTATCTTATCCTGTCTGGGGCTCTCGAGGCAGAGGGTTAAGTCGTCTCTATCACACCAAGGCTCCCAGGACAGGACCATGCCTCCTGCTGCAGACTGGGGTCCCCCAGGGTCAGAGCTGATCTCTTCCACATTGATTCAGGGGTCCCTCAGGTCAGGGGCTATGTCCTTCTTCAATGTCACACCATGAATTGAGCCTGGGGCTGTTCATCTCCTTCTCAGCTGGGAGTGTTCCTGGTAACACCGTGAGGGCTAAATCATCCAATTTACACCTACAGTGCATGTGGCAACTGGGAGCATCCCCGGGTGGGCATTCCCCCGCTACCTCCAGCCTGAGCCTCTGCAGCAGGGCTGGTGGTAATTAGAGGTGATTATAATTGCTGTGCGTTATTAATAACATGTGAAACAGAAGACAAATGTAATAACGAAAATATTGTGAGGTGTCATGAACAAACAGTAATTGGAATAATAAGTTAAAGAATGAGTTTCTGTAATGAGATCAATGAGGCAAGAGCCCAAGGGCTGTGTGCATCTGTGGTCCTGGATAATCCCATTCAGGAAAAGATTCCCCCAGAGCCGCTTAGCTAAGGACATTTTCCAAGAGACTAAAGGAGCTGCCAGCACCTGTATACAAACTGAACCTCCCTGGGGAAGCCTCCTGTGTGTCTGAGGGTGTGTGGCCAGGCTGCAATAGGTGGGTGCTGTGGGGCGTGGTTACAGGAGAAGAAGTCAAACTTTTTAATTGGTCAAAAATAGAATTCTGTGGCTCTTTGTCTTAAGGTTTCCTCTTTTCCTCGCTGAGACTGTGAAAGGTCATTGGCAGAATAACAAGAATTGGTTACTGACAAATAATGATAAAAAGGTTACCGGCAAAATGACGATAATTAAATGGCACCTCCTGGTTTCTGTAAATTATGTTATCTAATCTGGAATAAAGCCTGTGAATTGGATGCTGTTATCTCGTTTTTATGAACAAGGAAGCTGAGGCGGTGGGGGGCTGGGGGTGGTTGCTGAATGCGTCCGGCTGGACTGTCTGCGCTGTCCTCTGAGAGCCCGAGGGCTCCATGGTTTCGACTCAGGAAGGGCCGCCCTCACCCACTGTTGGGATGCTGGTCCCTTTTTTTTAGTCAGTGCAGTGTTGCTTTTATCTGTTTTGTATATTTGTAGGGGTGAGGGTATGGAATATTTCATTTCAAGCAAGTTCCATAGCTAAAGCGAGCATGGTGAGTATTCTGGCAATGTAGCCAGTGTTTCACCCAGTCCTGCATTTTAAGAATTGAACAGACAGAGCCATGAACCTCATAGGTTAGGTACAGCCAACATCTGTCCCAGCTTCTGGGCGGTATTCCCTACTTCCCCCTACCTGCGGGGCATGGAGTTCTGAACAGCCTTCTGCAGAGCTCTCATCGGGAGGCAGCTGAGACCTGGTTCCAACTTCCAGCCAGCTGCCTGCTGTCCACCATCTCCTGTCCTCCCTGTCACTTGTTTCAGACCAGCCTCCCAGCTGTTCCTCTCACACTGAGTGTGCCCATGGCTCTGTTCTTGGTTCTCTGTCCCCATCTCCTACATATCTGAATAGTTGGCTTCTTGAGTTCCTTCAGATCTCTGCCGACTCATCAGAGAGGCCTTTCCTGCCCCTTCTTCATCAAAGAGCAGCCCTATCTCCAGCACCTTCCGTGATGACAGCTTTGCTCTGTGCCCCTGACACTGCCTGACACATTACATGTCTGTGTGCTCATGGCTTGTGCCCGCCCCGGCCCAGCTCCCAAATGTGGACCATGAGTGGAGAGGCTTCTCTGTCTGACTCACTTCTGCATCTCTAGAACCTAGTAGGATGCCTGGCATGGAATAGGTGCTCCTGCCTCTCTCTCCTCCCCTGCTGGATGGGTGGAGTCTCCCTAGGGATTCTCCATCAGACTATCAGAGCTTGCATTTACCCCACCAGGCTGGGATCCCCAAGGGCAAGGTCATACCTTCTTTACCGTGGATCCACCCAGTGCCCATCCAGATTTCTCTGCCAGAGGTATCCTTAAGACGTGGGTCTGGGTGTCAACTTTCTGTGCATCCCCCTGAGTATGGTCTACAGAACAGCCCCACGAAGCAGGTACTGCCATCCTTAGTTCACTGACAAGGAGGCTGGGGCAGAGGAGGTTAGGCTGCCTGGCCCAGGTCCCACTGTAGGTAAGTGTGGGCTCAGGCCATCCTCAGACCCAGGCCTGTTTGCCTCTTGGTCCATGCGCAGTCACCACCTCACACCAGTTGACTAGACTTTGGCCCACCCCACTAGTGAAGCAGAATGAAAGCACGTGACCACCTACCAACACACCTTGGCAGAGGCGAGCTCCACAGGCGCCGTCTGCCCCCCAGGCACATGATGCGGGCGGTGCCCTCCAGACGGTACCCGGGGAAGCAGGAGAAGGTGAGGGTGTCGCCCACGCCGAACTGCAAGCCCTTCCGGATGCTGTAGGCGGGGACTTCGGGCTCCTCACAGGGCTCCAGGTCGTACTCTGGAAAGGCAGCCAGACAGTGGGGCTCAGAGACATCTCCGGGAGGTGCAGAGCAAGAAGGTGTTGCACTCAGGCCCGAAGAGCAGGAGAAAGGCCAGGAATAGACAGAGAGACAGAGGCACACACGCTGGCCCACAAAAGGCGGAGAGAAAAGTGGTGGGATCCCAGATGAAGAGAGAAGTGGGGAGGGGAGGGGAGGAGGTCTGCAGCAGGGGAGGGTGCAGAGCGTCTGAGAGACTTGCCAGGAGGACTTCTGAGGTTCCTCAGGAATCAGCCCTCCCGTCCTCCCCTCCACCTCCACTTCAACCCCAAGCCTTGGGGCTCATAGACTCTCTTGCCTCTTTCTCTCTCTCTGGGCTCTGAACCGCATTTATGGAACCCGGCTGGTTCCAGAGGGTCAGAATATGTGACCCAGCCTCAGAGACTCCAAATGCCTCACTAGAAGCCCTACCTCTGCAATTCTGGCACTTGAGACAGATGGCAAGTGTGACAGGTGGCACTTATGAGCCAGGGACCTGCTTGGTGCCTCTAGTGACAGCACAGAAGTAACCAGCCACTCTTCCCTAAGGCCGCCTCCCCTCTGGGCTCTGTTTGGGGAGAGGAAGGCCTCTCTCACACGGGTGGAGACACGATGGCCGGATGTGTCCCATCAGCCAAGCTAGCCCAGGCTCGTGGCAGGTGGTTTCTGTGTTGGAGACCAGTGGGGGCTAAGCTGGGTCCCACCGCAGTTCCTAAAGGGCAGACACTACTGCTTCTCCTGGGAGGAATCCATCTGCTATCCCTGGCCCCTCCTGAGAAAAGTGCTCAGGGGTGCAAGGGGACAAAAAGGGTGGGGAACGCGATACTGGAGGAGCCCAGGGTCCTCTTTTCTCCCTGAATACCAAATGGAAGAGCTTTCCCCCACAGGATTCCTGAAACACAGAGAGAAGTATCTAGCACTATCAGATTAGCCTGATGAAGAAGACCCCAAATGAGACTCCACCACTGTGATACATTAATTTCAAACCCCCTTTTTTGAAATTGTTTTAAATTGCTGAGGTTGTGAACTAGTGGAAGTGGAATCAGGAAAAAAAATTGGAATTACCAGAGCAGGAAGGGTAGTTGATGGTGAAGTCGGCTAGTTCATGGTCAGCATAAATGCCAACCCCCTTCTGGGGAGATTCCCCAGGGAACCTGCTAACTCCTCCCAAGACCATCATAGAGAAGGTCTTCCTCGTGTCTAACTCAAATATCTTCTGCTGCAGCATCGAGATCATTCTGCCAGAGCCTGGAGAGTGAGTGGGTTAACACCCAGCTCCCTAGCAGAGAGACCAGACACTGGCAGCGGAGGGAGAGAGGGGTGGCTCCGTGGTCCCTGCCCTCTCACGACTCTCGGGCTCCTTACCTGAGAAGGTGATGTTGAATCCCTCGTACGACATGGAGAAATCAGAAATGAAGCGGACTTGGGCAGTGAAGTTGCCGTAGAGCCCTGCACTGATGGGAGCGGGCAGCCGCGAGCCGGTCAGCTGCCGCAGGGGCTGGGTGAAGCTGCCATTCTCGGTGATGAGGAGGTAGTCGTGGCCGCTCTCCAGGTGGAAAGTGTGGAAAGTAAAGAACACACCTGCCGAGAGACCAGACGGGTGAGGTCGGTGCTGGTCACATGGCTGAAGCAGGACGGGGCCTGCAGAAACATTTCACTTTGTCAACATCTATTGGTATGTATGGTGGCGGGCCTGGATTGATAAAACGTCCTGGAGAGTGTGAATGAATGAATCTGAACACACCAGGACACAAAGATCCATTCAGGGACAAGGACACATTCCTGTGGTGTCAAAATTTGAAGAAGTGGGCTTGGCCCCTGTAGCTCAAGTGGCTAAAGTGCCAGCCACATATACCAGAGCTGGTGGGTTTGAATCCAGCCCGGGCCCGCCCGCCAAGCAACAGTGACAACTACAACCAAAAAATAGCCAGGCATTGTGGCGAGTGCCTGTAGTCCCAGCTACTTGGGAGACTGAGGCAAGAGAATTGCTTAAGCCCAGGAGTTGGAGGTTGCTGTGAGCTGTGATGCCATGGCACTCTACTGAGGGCGATAGCTTGAGGCTCTGTCTCAAAAAAAAAAAAAAAATTGAAAGAGAGATTTATGGCCAGGTCTGTGAGGATGTCCTGCAGCTATTTATTAATTCATTCTGTAGGCATCTCTGTGTTTGTTGAGTCCTTGCTATGGGCTAAGATCCAAGGTTAGGTGGGAGGGGACACAAATGGTGTTAAATGAATAGCTGCTACAGAGGGACAAATACTGTCACTGAGGCAGCTCCGTGTGCCCCAGAGGCAGAACAGAAAGCAGTAGAAAACAGGGATAGCGGAGTGTGGGACAGCTTCACCAAGGGGTGAACATCTGATGTGGGTCCTAAGAGGATGCCCAGGAGTTAACCAGGAAAGACAGCAGAAGCGTCCCAGGCAGGGGATCCACATGTGAACAGGGACAGAGGTGTCATCGATTCCAGGGCTCAGTGAGCAGCATGGTGTGGCTGGACCCACTGAGCAGAAACGCTTGCAATCGAGACTGAATCGGTAGGCTGGGGCCAGACCCGACATCTCTCTGGATGCAGTGAGAAGCCGTCCTATCCAGAGTGGGTCAAGATTCAGTTTTAGCAAACTCTTGGTGGCTGTGAGGAGGACGAAGAGGAGGCAGAGAGATCATGTAGAATGGCGGGTGCTCTGCCCTGGACAAGAGAGCAGAAGATGGGCATGACCCCTGGGGGCATGTGGCCAGGGCAGCAGGCGCTGGACACAGAGGTGAAACGAAGGACAGCTGGATGGTGATGCCTTTCACTACCTGGGGAAGGACATAAAGGAGGGAGAGGGACAGGGGGTCGAAGAGCAAGGGACTTCACCGTTTTCACATCCAAGCAGGGGTATCTAGTGGCCACTGCAAGGACAGATTTGGAAGTTCAGGACTCAACGGGGACTACAGAGGTGGATCTGGGAGCCACTGGCAGATAGATAATGTTTGAAGGCACAAGAACAGGCTGCAGGCGGAGGAGGTGGGCAGAGTGAGAGTCAGAGAAGGGGTGACGGAGGGAGAAGGGGGAGTCAGAGAGGGGAAGAGATGGAAGAAAGAGGTCCACTAAAGCGGGGAGGTTTAAAGAGCAAAATAAAATCAAAGCAGCAGTACACATGAACATTTCAAGCATTAACTATCTGGTGCCACTGTCCTGTTTCACTTGCTCTGTCGCCAGCCCCTCTCATTTGGAAGAGAAATACAAAAACTCACTTAATCCTGCCACTAACCCTATGACATGGGTGTAGTTATTATCATCTCCCTTTTACACCCAAGGAAACAGAGGTGCACAAGGATGAAGCCATTTGTCTAAAGCCGCTCAGCTGGCAGGTGGGAGGACCGGGATCTGGACCGAGTGACCTGACTCCAGAGGAAGTGCTCTCAACTGCTCCAGGACGCTGCCTTTCTGGCTATAGAAAGAGAGCAGGTAGGATGAACAGCAAGGTGGCGGGAGGGAGCAGGGGCTGAGAAAGGCTATGGGGCGACAGGATTTAAACACCCAAAGTCACTCTTGAATCTCCTGAGATGGCAGTCGTGATGGGATGTGCATGCCCACTCACAAGTGAGTGTGCCCAGGGGAATACATGTTGTGGGCGGTGCCACAATGGGTGTGCTGCACCCACTTGCTACTCAAAGTGTGGTCCAGGGACAAGCAATGTGGGCATCGCCTGGCAGCTGATTGGAAGTGCCAACCTTGGCCTCCACCACAGACTTATTGGATTAGACTCTGCGTGCTCACTAGGTCCCCAGGTGATCTGCAGACACGTGAAAGTTTGAGAAATTCTTCTCTACATGATTACTCTACATTTTTGATAAATGGCGGGTGGGCGAGACAGCACCCAACAGAGGTGATGGGACCAGGGATATGGCTTGTAAATGCCCCGTGCCCAGGTAACTGAGATGCATTCCCGTATATCTGTTGTCAAAGGAACAAGCCCCAGGCACCTACCAAGTGCCAGGCCTCGTGCTAACACTGAGAAAGAGCTCCCAGCTTCATGGAGGGGACAGACACATCGACAGTGAGACTCCAGAGTGGGGCACACAGGAAGAGCACGTCACTCTGCCTTGAGGCTTGGGAAAGCTTAAGGGGTTGTGGGTATGTGTCCCTCACGCCTGCTACACTCCCGGCACATAAACACATGTGCAAATGAGAAACTATCCTCAGTCTGTAGAGCTTGAGAAATACATTCCTTTCCCTCTGACTTAGAACACCGATCTGGGTGGCAACAGGCAGAAACACGTTGATTAAGTGCCACCCTTTGCACTCTGTCCCTTGAGGACATAAATATAGCCCCTCTGGGGAGTCAACACTTGGCTAGGATTCTAAGGATGAGCAAACAACTGGGATGAAACCCCTGAGTTTCCCGGCTGTGCAGACTGCTTGGGCCTTTTTAGGCTATTGTGAGAAAAAGAAGACATTGTTGCAGAAACAGAGAGGCTCGGAGTTGGAGTCTGAATCCAGATTTAGGGGACTAAGGCACACGCATGGATACTTCACTGCAGTGGTCCGTGCAGAACTGTATGGCCGACACCAACACCGGGCTGGGCAGAAACAGCAGGGCAGTGGGAAAGTCACGGGCTTGGGAGGAAGACACACCTGGATCAAAAGCCTGTCTACCAGCTCAAGGGTCTCGGCCAAGGTTGCTTAGGACCCCCGAATTCCAGTGCCTCCACTACAATACTATGTATGGAGATGATAATATCTCCCTCACAGGTGACACCTAATTCCTGCCGTGGGGAATAATTGGGATGGCGCTCATAAAGCACACGGCTTGTGTGTGGCACATAGTAGGTGTACATAGTAGGTGTTCTCTTTCCTGGCTTATCTAATCCTCAGACAGCCTTAAAAGAAGTCAATTCTGTGGTCTCAGCAAGGGCACATTCTCAGGACTCCTGGATTGGCTGTTCCCTTGGGCTGGACATGTAGCGAGTTGAACTATTTTGAATTTCACAAAGTTTTGAGTTTCCTGAGCTGTGCTTCTGCCTGTTAGGGAGCAATCAGAGTCAGTGGCTTAATAGGTCTGTTAACCCGAGATACTCTTATAAACAGAGACGGAGGAATGCCCTCTGGAGAAAGGTCTGGGCTCAGTTCAATTCAATTCCTATCACCAAATACTTCTCGAGTTCCTCACTGCCAGGCACAGAGCCAGAAGCTGGGAAACTGCAGGAAACAAGACAGACCCATCTCTCAAAGAGTTCATAGTCTGCTGGGGAGACAGATGATGAAATTGCACATTCTATATGGCGGGGAGAGTCTGAAATGGGGGGGGGACAGGATGCCGTGGATGCATAGGGTGGCTTCTGGCTCCCTTAACAACCTCTGCCCACCAGGCCTGGTGGAAACAGCTCTGCAGGATGCGCAAAGGCACTGCCCTTATCTCTCCCTCCCTGTGGAAGATGAGGACAGGCCAGGTCTGTCCCCACCTCGACCGCCTGAGAGCCCGGCCTTGCCCATGAAGCTCTGAGCCATCCTAGACCTGGGTGGGGCTGGCCTAGCAAAGGCTAAACTCTAGCACTGAAGTCCACGTGGTGGGACTAGAAATGATTTTTCTTTCAAATTTTCTTTTTCACACAAATAGTATATTTTACATGTAATACATGTTTACTGCTCAAAATTAGAAAAAAAGCCAAAAGATGAAAATAAGACACAACATCTTGAGGTTTATCTTTTCCAGGCCGTTTGCTATGCGTCCAAAGATGTCTTATGAGTTAAAAATATCCTTTTAGCAAACTGCCTTTTTTACCTAACAATGTACTGCAACCACCTCTGTAGGCCTTTAAATATTCTTTCCCATTTCTCCTTCGTATTTCCTTAAAATACTAGTGGCCTAGCATTTTATTCTATGGCTGTTAACGCAGGTTCATTTAACATTTCCTTATTGATGGACATTTGAATAATTCCTAATCCTTCAATATAATAATGGATGTCTTAGGGGATATCCTTACAGCTACATCTCAATGTACAGTTTTACTGATTTTCTTCAGATAAATTGCAGTTAGTGGACTTGCTGGGTCCATCAGGCATCTGCAGTTGGCCCTCTATATTGGTGGGGATTGGTTCCAGGACTCCCCCCACTAACGTACCCAAATCTGCAGATACTCAAGCCCCTTCAGGATATTTTTAAGGCTTTTGATTCATATCACCAAAGCACCCTCTGGAAAATTTGAGCCACTTCACACAATATCAGCAGGGAATAGTACTCATGTGTCTACACTCTCCCCCAGACTGTTAGGATTTTCTTTGATGACTTGAAAAGGGAAGTGGTATTTCATTTCCCAATTGAAATTGAATTTCTTTAATGAATAGTGAGAGTCAATGCTTTTTCATCAAAATTTTTCTTGGTTCTTTTACATGTGAATTCTTCTAGATCAGAGGTTCTGCATTAAAGGCAAGCATCAAAATCACTGGCCAAGTGTTTTTTTAAACAGAGATACCTCGTTTCCACCCTCTAACACAGAAAATCAAAACCTCTTAGGGTGGGGCCTAAGTGTTAGTGTATTTGCCAAACTGCAAGAACCACACCTCTACATGAACTTCAGAATAAACTTCTGAGAATAGAGGCCGTGACTGTCTGGTTACCGCTGATCACCAGCCCAGGTGTCTGCCACTTAGGGGGCATTTAATAAACACCTGTTGAATTAAACAGTTTATCAATTAATGTTTCTTCGTAACCAGCACTATTACTTTGAACTTGAACCAGTGTAGGCTGCTGAGGACTGTGGCACCGCATATGCATGGCCTCAGAGGAGGTGAGTTATGCAAGAAGGCATTGCTGTGTTCAATGTTTGAAGGCCAGATGGATGAGGGAGAAGGGGCAGAATATTTGATGTTCCTTCAGGACACGAGACAAGGAAACAGCACAGGATGGACAAAGTAACAGACTGTTGAGGGCTGGCGACCTCCCTGCCCCGGGGGTGTTTAGGTAGAGGGTGCTGTCTCCGTGGGGAGTGATGTCGAGCAGATTCCTGCACTGAGTGAGATTGGATAGCTGGTAACCTCTAAGATCTCTTCTAGCATGGAGATTTTAGGTTGTCAACCATATTTATTGAAGGAATTCTGTGATTCAAAGAGATGGGTAAGTTCTGGAAGCTTTTTTTGTTGTTGGTGGCGAGGAAAATTCAGACTAAGCCCACAGGTCACTATGGAGAGAGATGCCCATTAAGGTCATTTTGATCTGGGGACCTTGGAGACCTGATCGTTTCAGACTCCAATCATAATGTGACAGATTGTTGAATGGGTTGGCGACCTTCCTGCCATGGGGCTAAACACTCACCCTTGCCGTGTGATGTTTCGATAACCCAGGTGCAGTTCAAGTTGTTGGGGTAGAAGTCAGGGAACCCTGGTGACAGGATGGTCCCGCTGGAACCTTGAATGAAGCCACCACAGAGAGCTACAGAAGGAGTAAAGAGGGCAGTGAAAAACTGGAGTGGCTCAGGGAGCTTGCCCCACGATCCTCTGCGACCCCGTCCCCCAACCCCTCTCAAACCCGGGAGCCCTGCTTTTTCCTGGTAGGAGAGGAAGCTGCTCCGTCAGCACCTCACCTTCACAGCTGGGCAGGGCCCGGCTCCACTGGAAGTTGGGCTCACACTCCAGGGGCTCCCCATCACTTAATGTGTAGCCTGAGTCGCAACTGAAGGTCACCAGAGCACCTACGTAGAAGTCATTCCCATGACGCTGCCCGTTTACAGGGATCCCTGGATCCAGACAGTGGTCTGACTGCAGTGTTATAGCTGGAAGAGAGAGACCCTCGCTGGAGCAGACAGCTTGCTGCTGCCACAGAGGGACCCCAGCTGCCTCACAGAGACAGAGAAGAGAACCCTGATTTATAAAAGGCAGAAGTTGCCAATTAGCAACTCGGTATCTGCTGAGAGGGTATTTAAAGACCTATCCCCAGAGGAAACAAGTGCTCAATCATTTGTTCACTAGTTTGTTCACAGTCAAGTGTCTGCTGTGGTTGAGGCGCTGTGCTGAGGCTTAGGGATACAAACATGAGCAAGGACATGACCCTGTCCTTGTGGCGCTCCCAACCCTCACTTTCTATGTCGGTCTACAGAGAACTGAATGATGCTGATCCTTTAAATGGCGGGGATGAATGCAGAAGGCGATGAGAGAGGGCGAGTGTGAGCAGGCAATGGCGGCTCACTTCAGCTTGATTGTTGGTCAAATACCGTGTCCCCAGAGTACCCAGCACAGCAGCACCCAATCAGGTGCCATAAGGTTTGCACACAAGGACCCGGCATGAAGGTCATGAGAAACTCTAGGATCTCATGACCCCCGAGGGATGCTGAGAGCAAGGAAGTGTCTTCCTGAGGGCACAGCCTAACGGAGAATGCCATGGGGATGAGGCCAAGTGGGCCTATGGCAGAGCACAGTCTCCAGGCCTTTCACCCACCTGGGCCAGTCTTGCCCGTCATCTCTCTCCCTGCACCCGCCCAAGACTCACTTTCATAGCGGAGCTGGAAGCCGACATCTGAGTGACTCTTGTCAGTGGAGAAGAGGAGGTAGAGGTAGTTGCTGGTGCTGATGAGAAACTGGGGGACCTGGGTCCCGTGGTAAACCCCGATCAAGGGTGCTGAGTATGTCCGCCCATCTCGTACTTCCAGGGTGTCATAGTTCACCTCGGTTTTGAATCTGCCAAATGATGGAGATGAAGGCTTCTTGAGAAACTCAAGGCTTATTAATTTGCAAATGACAAAAGCCCTGCCTAACCCATGGCTTTGGACCAACCAGATTTTGGCAGGCTGGGATCATCAATGTCATCTGCAGACATTCACTAATGATGTGGAAGGACAACCCCCCCCCCCCATTTAACCCTTCTCAGTGAGAAGCAGCTCTCTTATCCCCTCTGCAGCCTGGACCACAACCCATCTTATGACCTTGAGCCACAGTGACTAGTCTCAGGGGGTCAGAATGTTCCAGGTCAGGTGTCAACAAACCAAAGCCCTAAGCCCCAATGTGGTCCATAGCCTGTAGAGCTGAGAATGTTTTCTACATTTGTAAAGAGATATTAAAAAAAAAAAAAAGCAAAGCAGAATATACGTCAGAGATCTTCAAGTGGGCAAGTGGCCCACAAACCTAAAATATTTACCATCTGGCTCTTTACAGAAAAGTTTGTGGACTGCTATTTCAGACCATGAACAATTTTGCCCGGCAAGAGTCCATGTTCCTGTCTGGGGTGGCTACTCCCTCCACCCAAGAGGCCCAACCTGGGTGGGAGCTAGAAGTGGGACATTTGAGCAGGCTTTGGGCCAGCCGTCAGAGAGGCTGTTCCCCATATTAGGAATTTCTAGGGGAATGTCCCTCAGGTTCTAATACTGTGCTTTAACGTCCGATGGTGTCTGTCTGCCCACTTTCCCTCTGTAGTGGATGGTGGCAGTGGGGTTGGGGGGCTGATGATGCAAACGATACCCTAGACTTCTCTTCGCCCCTCCCGCCATAGTCCCCTAAATAGTGCAAACCAAGATGGTGGGGTCTGCCCATCCTGGGGTGGTTGGGTCCAGTGTTCTCTGACCTTGCTAACAATTCAGCACTGGTGCTGTCCTCCCCACCCATTCTAGATTCCCTCCCTCATCCCTCTCCCCCAAAGCCGCGGTCACACGCACCTGTCGAAGGTGATTTTGATGGGGTAGCCGGGCTGGGCTTCAATCACCCAAGCACAGCTCAGAGCGTCCTTGTAGAAGCCCGGCCAGCCCGGGGAGAGGATGGTGCCGCTGGGAGAAGTCAGGTGCCCACCGCAGGGAGCTGGGGGGACAGAAGGCAGAGCAGTGACTTTCTTGGGGGTGGGGGGACAGATGAACAAACAAACAAAAAACCTCTCCATAATATGTGTCAGCCGACAAATATTGTTTTTGTTTTTATGGAATATTACATAAACTATAAACTGTGAGTTTTGTCTACTGGGATTTTTATGGATATGTTCAGTTATATCATGTGGAGTTTTATTAAGAGCCAGAGGGGAGAAATGAAAAGAATCCTTTAAGCAAAGCACTTTTGTCATTCTAGAAGGACTGAAGGCCAGCTCATATTTGGGTCACACTAATTTTTCCTTTCTTCCTCACTCAATTGTTGGGCCGGGAGCAGAGGCATAAACGCAGCCCACCTCCTTCACTCCCAGCACTGGAGAGTGGGCAAGACCCCCGTGCATGCCTGGCTCAAGGCACCGGCACAGCTTGCTCTGCTGTGAGCCCTGGGAGGACCCAGGTTGTATTATGTGTCTTCCACAACTCAGTATCCCCAGCACTGTGCGTGTGCTTGGCAGGCAGGCATCCTCAGCAATTACTGGTGGGATGAATAACGAATGGATGGCAGGATAAAAGGGTGCAGTCCATGGCGGGGAACTCCACAAGACATAGGGTGCCCTGATCACGGTCTCTGCCTGTTTCTGGTCTTGCCAAGACTGTTACCTCAGTCCCTTGCTCTCCCTCTGCCCACAGACCCCAGGGTTCCACCTGGGCATCCCCATTCTCACCTTTATCTCTCCCCATCCCTTGCCTCTCCCTGCAGCTGGGCCGTTGGTCCTTGGGCTGGTCCAGGGCACATTTCATCACCCACCCCTTTTGTAGTTACACAAAACTGTGTGAAGGCTTTGACCAATAAAACGAAGTAAAGCAGGTTGTATCCATGTGGAAACTTTAAGAGCCAGTGCGTGATTTGCAGTTTCCCTTTCCCACCTGGGTGACTGAGGAAGCAAATGTCCAGAGGGAAGTCCCCTCCTACCAGCAGGGCAGACACTGGGATGACCTGTGCTCAATACGCAGCTTTGCTGAGACTTGGGAGTGGTTTGTTAACACAGCCTAGCCCAGCCCACGGAACCTCCTCTAGGCTGACGATGGCGATGGTGACATCCCCTGCCGGTGCTGCTGCCACCACTGCTCTTGACAGAGAGCTGACTCCACATACCATTGTATTAACTATTCACAGGATAAAAGCCTTGCAAGGTTGGTGCTATTGTTACCTCCTAGGTAGTCTGAGGCTTATGGAGGTTAAGTGACTAGCCTTGGGTTAGCAAGTCATGGAGCCTGGATTTTTCTCAGCAAGACAGCACAAATTCAGACATCTTTAGCTAAGCAGCCTTCCCCCTTTAAAGGAACCTCTGCTTCCTCTGGGCCTTGTGACTGTAGAAATACCAGATGTCAAATCTGCTCTGAAATAAGACTAGGGAGGGGATAAAGAGCCGTGTACCCCTTCTCTCTCTGCAAAGTTTTGTAGATTTCCATAGGTAATCAGCTTCATACATTAGAGCCAAATGTACCCTACCCTTCTTTTCTCTTAGTTTTATAATGTTTTGGAATTATCTAAAATAGGTGTCAAGTATTTTAAATAGAAAATTATATTAGGAAAATTAACAACAAAGTTAATAATAGTAGTGGCAATCAACAGAAACTTATATTAGGAAGGTTACCAACAAAGTTTATGACAGTAGTGGTAATCAACTTACTTGCTAATTGTTTTATGTGTATTATGTAATCTAAATGCACACATTTATAAAGTTATTATCCCCATTTTACAGATGAGAAAACTAAGGCTGAATAGGCTAAGGCACTCTATTATGAGCAAAGAGTTAATGAAGTTAGTTCAGGCTGAGATGTAACCTCAATACTTCTGTCTCTAAATCCCCACAGCCCTTAATAGTGTTACAACCACAGACAAGAGTAATGAGCTCGGGGGTTTCAAGAGTTTACTATATGTCAGGGCTTGATGTGGATTATTCTTGTGATAATTACAACACTAAAAGGCACGTGCCATTATTATCCCTGTTTATGGGGGGGGGTGTTGTTACCTAATTTTCCATCAATTGAGGCTTAGAGAAACTAAATACAGTGTCCACACGGAACATTGAGAGAGTAAATTGCATACATGTATTGAAACCCCAGTTTTCAAAACACATCCATCCTTTTTGCTGCAACCACCAATGCTTTCCTCTACTTCTGCAGTGGATGTGTGAGGCCTTGGAGGAGGGGAAGGGTGTGCCTGTTGCTCCGTCCCAGCCTCCCATGACAGGGGGCTCTTTTCTTGGCTCCATTTCAGCTCAGGCCCAGCCTCTCTGGTTGCTGGACTGTGATCTCTGCATCTACTTTCCAGGAAGCCCCAGGTCCCACGTCACTACTGCCCACTGAGGCTACTCTCACCCAGTGCACACGCAGCAACCACACCCCAGATGTAACTGCTGGGGAGAGAAACTCAGTTCCTTCCTTTGGGCGTCACCATTTTGTTTTTCTTCTCTGCTCTTTTGTTTGATAACTTGACCTCGTTATTTCTTCTTGCGTTAATCAAACCACCTCTCTATTCATCCAGTCCTTCACTCGCCTCTATTGTTCATCTTCATGTTCCAGAGTAGCAGCTGCCTGGCAGGGGTGTGGGTGGGAAAGGACTCCTAAATGCAATGTCTTCCTAACATTTAAAAAGATGTGCAACCTCGCTCTCAAAAATAAAAATCCATGTTACAACTACGAGGAGCTATTATGTCTCATCTACCAGTTGGGCAAAACCAAAGATGGTGACACCCATGGCTGCAAAAAACCAGGAGTTCTCGTACCTTGCTGGTGAAAACACAAAATGGCACAACACTACAGAGAGGAATTTGGTGATAGCCTGCACAGATCACATGCATTTCCTCTCTGACCCAGCAATTCTATTTCTAGAGCTCTATCCCAAAGATAAGCTGGCAAAAATGTGAATGGACATATACATGTGCAAGGCTATGCAAGGTAGTGCTGCTGTGATAGCAAAAGAATGAAATAGCCCAGATGTTCATTATCAGGGATCTGACTGAATACGCAAGGAGAATCAGCAAAATGGACTATTTATGCAGCTAGAAAAACAAATGAGAAATAGTCTCTATAATGTCATGAAGTGGTCCCCAGAACGTGTTGTTAACTGGATAAAAGCAAGGTAGAAAGTGGTGGGTAGAGTATGATTCTACTTATCGAAGAAAGTTGTGGGCGCTGCACACACATATTCATCCATATTAACAAGCAAGGAAAGGGTAAACCAGAAACTGAAAAGATCACTCAGGGAGGGATAGAGGGAACAGGGTAGAGAAGACAGTGACAGATGCTAACCTTCCTCCGACATACCTTCTTTTATCAATCTATCTTTGGAACTATGTAAATATTTTACCTAATTAAAAAGAAAGATTAGATTTGATACACGATTTCAAAGGCGAAGTGAAATAAGTGAACGTAATCCTATATCAATTGGTGGCACAGTCGCACACAAAGAAACTCGTTAAAGAGCTTTTAAAACATAGTAATTTGATAGCCCATCTATGGCAGGATATAAAGACGAAAAGAACTGGAAAAAATCCAACACACACTAAATGGAAACCATTCTTAGGAATTGCATGTTGTTGGTAGTATTAGTCTTATTACTTTGAGACCTTGGGTGTGCTTTATGCAATGGGAAATTATGCTGGTGGTGTTGGGAACTGAGATTTTCGGTAAGAGTGAAAGAAGATACAGGTAGGAAATCATGGAATTTAAGTAAAAAAGAAAAAGTATTTTTTTACATTTGAAATGAAATGAATAGTGATGAGTTTTCTTTTACAGAGTATTCCTGGCTGTGTTCCTGGCCTCAGAAATAAGGGCCAACTCAATAGGAATAATCACCATAGTGTACAGATTCTAAATATCAACTTCCACTGAAAGAAACAAGGGATCCTTGGAGAAACAACTGGTTCTAGGTCAAGGACAGAAAATGTGCAAGATGAAGCTGGGCCAACTTCTAGGGGCTCCCACTAGCCAAGGGAGCACCCTTTAGAATAGTAATTGAAATGGAGTTAAATACATAAAATATGTTTACATCCATTAGACTGTAATGATGTTTAAAAGTGCTCAACTCCCATTTGATCCTGCGGTGTCATTACTAGGTATCTACCCAGAAGAACAAAATCATTTTTTTTCCACAAAGACATTTGCACTAGAATGTTTATTGTGGCTCAATTCATAATTGCCAAGTTGTGGAAACAACCTAAGTGCCCATCAACCCATGAAAGGATCAACAAACTGTGGATCAACAAATACTACTCAGGCATTAAAAAGGATGGAGACTTTACATCTTTTACATTTACTTGGATGGAGCTGAAATATATTCTTCTGAGTAAAGTATCGCAAGAATGGAAAAATAAATATTCAGTGTACTTCATACTAATATGAAACCAATATATAAATAATTACATGCTCATATGAACAATGGAACACAAATATAGTCTAGTACGGGGGTACAGGAAGGTGGGAGGGGAGAGGATGATTGGCAGAAGGAGGGAGGGCATGAGGTGGGTTCTCACCTAATGCACACATTGTGAGGGTGTATAACACATCCCCTGGGTGAGGGGCTCTTTTATAACTGGAACTTTACCCTGGAAGTGAGAACAATGTAACCTAAAAGTTTATACTTTTGTATTAATTTGAAAGAAAAAGTGTTCAACTTTGGAAGTTGTTAAGAAATCATTAATAAGAAAACTGGTGTAGAAAAATCATTATTCCTCTCGTCCTTTCCTTTATGTATGATATCTCAGAGGAACCAAATAGTTGATGAAAACAAGTTTTCTTTAAGTACAGTATTCCAGCTTATAAAAGAAAAATAAATGAGAGAGCGTTGCCATTTTGCAGTCCCTAGGCTGCGATCATCAGTGCCTCCTAACAACCCCAAAAGAGAGTCAACCAAACATGCGTGCTACTGGTGCAGACACAGAGTCCTGCCTATAAAATATTCTGGTTAAAAAATGAAACCCGAACCTGATT